TCTTCTCTTTGGTTCTCTTTATATGCTGGATTACGTTTATTGTTTGTGAATGTTGAACCAGCCTTGCATCCCAGGGATGAAGCCCACCTGATCATGATGGATAAGCTTTTTGATGTACTGCTGGATCTGGTTTGCCAGTATCTTATTGAGGATTTTTGCGTCAATGTTCATCAGGGATATTGGTCTAAAATTCTCTTTTTTTGTTGTGTCTCTGCCAGGCTTTGGTATCAGGATGATGTTGGCCTCATAAAATGAGTTAGGGAGGATTCCCTCTTTTTCTATTCATTGGAATAGTTTCATTAAAAATGGTACCAGCTCCTCCTTGTACCTCTGGTAGAATTCAGCGGTGAATCCATCTGGCCCTGGACTTTTTTTCGTTGGTAGGCTATTAATTATTGCCTCAATTTTAGAGCCTACTATTGGTCTATTCAGGGATTCAACTTCTTCCTGGTTTAGTCGTGGGATAGTGTAAGTGTCCAGGAAATTATCCATTTCTTGTAGATTTTCTAGTTTATTTGCGTAGAGGTGTTTATAGTATTCTCTGATGGTAGTTTGTATTTCTGTGGGGTCGGTGGTGATATCCCCTTTATCATTTTTTATTGCATCTATTTGATTCTTCTCTCTTTTCTTCTTTATTAGTCTTGCTAGCGGTCTGTCAATTTTGTTGATCTTTTCAAAAAACCAACTCCTGGATTCATTGATTTTTTGGAGGGTTTTTTGTGTCTCTATCTCTTTCAATTCTGCTCTGATCTTAGTTATTTCTTGCCTTCTGCCAGCTTTTGAATGCGTTTGCTCTTGCTTCTCTAGTTCTTTTAATTGTGATGTTAGAGTGTCCATTTTAGATCTTTCCTGCTTTCTCTTGTGGGCATTTAGTGCTATAAATTTCCCTCTACACACTGCTTTAAATGTGTCCCAGAGATTCTGGTATGTTGTATCTTTGTTCTCATTGATTTCAAAGAACATCTTTATTTCTGCCTTCATTTCGTGATGTACCCAGTAGTCATTCAGGAGCAGGTTGCTCAGTTTCCATGTAGTTGAGCGGTTTTGATTGAGTTTCTTAGTCCTGAGTTCTAGTTTGATTGCACTGTGGTCTGAGAGACAGTTTGTTATAATTTCTGTTCTTGTACATTTGCTGAGGAGTGCTTTACTTCCAATTATGTAGTCAATTTTGGAATAAGTGCGATGTGGTGCTGAGAAGAATGTATATTCTGTTGATTTGGGGTGGAGAGTTCTGTAGATGTCTATTAGGTCTGCTTGCTGCAGAGATGAGTTCAATTCCTGGATATCCTTGTTAACTTTCTGTCTCGTTGATCTGTCTAATGTTGACAGTGGGGTGTTGAAATCTCCCATTATTATTGTATGGGAGTCTAAGTCTCTTTGTAAGTCTCTAAGGACTTGCTTTATGAATCTGGGTGCTCCTGTATTGGGTGCATATATATTTAGGATAGTTAGCTCTTCCTGTTGAATTGATCCCTTTACCATTATGTACTGGCCTTCTTTGTCTCTTTTGATCTTTGATGGTTTAAAGTCTGTTTTATCAGAGACTAGTATTGCAACCCCTGCTTTTTTTGTTCTCCATTTGCTTGGTAAGTCTTCCTCCATCCCTTTATTTTGAGCCTATGTATGTCTCTGCATGTGAGATGTATTCAGGAGACTGATGGGTCTTGACTCTTTATCCAGTTTGCCAGTCTGTGTCTTTTATTGGAGCATTTAGTCCATTTACATTTAAGGTTAATATTGTTATGTGTGAACTTGATCCTGCCATTATGATATCAACTGGTTATTTTGCTCGTTAGTTGATGCAGTTTCTTCCTAGCCTAAATGGTCTTTACATTCTGGCATGGTTTTGCAATGGCTGGTACCGGTTGTTCCTTTCCATGTTGAGTGCTTCCTTCAGGGTCTCTTGTAAGGCATGCCTGTTTTTGACAAAATCTCTAAGCATTTGCTTATCTGTAAAGGATTTTATTTCTCCTTCACTTATGAAACTTAGTTTGGCTGGATATGAAATTCTGGGTTTAAAATTCTTTTCTTTAAGAATGTTGAATATTGGCCCCCACTCTCTTCTGGCTTGGAGAGTTTCTGCCGAGAGATCTGCTGTTAGTCTGATGGGCTTCCCTTTGTGGGTAACCCGATCTTTCTCTCTGGCTGCCCTTAAGATTTTTTCCTTCATTTCAACTTTGGTGAATCTGGCAATTATGCGTCTTGGAGTTGCTCTTCTCGAGGAGTATCTTTGTGGCGTTCTCTGTATTTCCTGGATTTGAATGTTGGCCTGCCCTACTAGGTTGGGGAAGTTCTCCTGGATGATATCCTGAAGAGTGTTTTCCAACTTGGTTCCATTTTCCCCCTCACGTTCAGGCACCCCAATCAGACGTAGATTTGGTCTTTTTACATAATCCCATACTTCTTGCAGGCTTTGTTCATTTCTTTTTCTTCTTTTTTCTTTAGGTTTCTCTTCTCGCTTCATTTCGTTCATCTGATCCTCAATCGCTGATACTCTTTCTTCCAGTTGATCAAGTTGGTTACTGAAGCTTGTGAATTTTTCATGTATTTTCGTGTCATGGTTTTCATCTCTTTCATTTTGTTTATGACCTTCTCTGCATTAATTACTCTAGCCATCAATTCTTCCACTTTTTTTTCAAGATTTTTAGTTTCTTTGCGCTGGGTACGTAATTCCTCCTTTAGCTCTGAGAAGTTTGATGGACTGAAGCCTTCTTCTCTCATCTCGTCAAAGTCATTCTCCGTCAAGCTTTGATCCGTTGCTGGCGATGAGCTGCACTCCTTTGCCGGGGGAGATGCGCTCTTATTTTTTGAATTTCCAGCTTTTCTGCCCTGCTCTTTCTCCATCTTTGTGGTTTTATCTGCCTCTGGTCTTTGATGATGATGGTGACGTACTGATGGGGTTTTGGTGTAGGTGTCCTTCCTGTTTGATAGTTTTCCTTCTAACAGTCAGGACCCTCAGCTGTAGGTCTGTTGGAGATTGCTTGAGGTCCACTCCAGACCCTGTTTGCCTGGGTGTCAGCAGCAGAGGCTGCAGAAGAGAGAATATTGCTGAACAGCGAGTGTACCTGTCTGTTTCTTGCTTTGGAGGCTTCCTCTCCGGGGTGTACTTCACCCTGTGAGGTGTGGGGTGTCAGACGGCCCCTAATGGGGGATATCTCCCAGTTAGGCTACTCAGGGGTCAGGGACCCACTTGAGCAGGCAGTCTGTCCCTTCTCAGATCTCAGCCTCCATGTTGGGAGATCCACTGCTCTCTTCAAAGCTGTCAGACAGAGTCGTTTGCGTCTGCAGAGGTTTCTGCTGCTTTTGTTGTTGTTTATCTGTGCCCTTTCCCCAGAGGTGGAGTCTACAGAGACAAGCAGGTTTCCTTGAGCTGCTGTGAGCTCCACCCAGTTCGAGCTTCCCAGAGGCTTTTTTTACCTACTTCAGCCTCAGCAATGGCGGGTGCCCTCCCCCAGCCTGGCTTCTGCCTTGCCGTGAGATCGCAGACTGCTGTGCTAGCAATCAGGGAGGCTCCGTGGGCATGGGACCCTCCTGGCCAGGTGTGGGATGTAATCTCTTGGTGTGCCTGTTTGCTTAAAGCTCAGTATTGGGGTGGGAGTTACCCGATTTTCCAGGTTTTGTGTGTCTCAGTTCCCCTGGCTAGGAAAAGGGATTCCCTTTCCCCTTGTGCTACCCAGGTGAGGCGATGCCTCGCCCTGCTTCATCTCTCGCTGGTCGGGCTGCAGCAGCTGACCAGCACCGATTGTCCGGCACTCCCTAGTGAGACGAACCCAGTACCTCAGTTGAAAATGTAGAAAACACCTGTCTTCTGTTTCGCTTGCACTGGGAGTTGGAGACTGGAGCTGTTCCTATTCGGCCATCTACAACTTTCTGAAATAATAGAAATGATCTATAACTGCATCATCCTGACATGGTCACCTCTAGTCACATGTGACTATTAAGCATTTAAAATGTGGTTAGTGTGTATAATGTACTGAATGTTAAAATCAACTTTATTTTAATAATCTAACTTACAATGTAAATAGTCATATGTGGCTAATGGCTACCAAGTAAGACTCTATAGCATTAAAACAAATATCTATTGCATATCCACTGTATGCTGGGCACTCTTTTAGACATTAGGCTGTATCAGCAACAAGTACAAAGATCTCCAAATTTTTGAAGCTTACATTCCAGTAGGAAACACAGTTTAGTAAAACAAAGAAATAACAAATACATATATTATATAAAATATTTTAAAAATGTATCATGGGAAAATTAAAAGGAATAGTTGGGCAAGAGAGTGCAGAGTCCTGAATGTGGAAGGCAGGCAAAATACAGAAAATATCCAGCAGAGTAAATCTTTTACTCTATTAGGATAGGTGAAAATATTTATTTTATATTATCACCTTTTCCACCTCCACAGGTGGGGTAACATTTTTTCACCCTGCTGTCCCTTCCAGTACTTTGCAATACACTTTGATTTGTTAATTGTTGTGTTTAAAAATATGTTTCTGTTCCTTCTTTGTTTAAATTCATTTATTAAAAATGTAAGTCTGAGTGCACTGGCTCACGCCTGTAATCCCAACACTTTGGGAGGTCAGGCAAAGTGTTGGGGGGATAACTTGAGCCCAGGAGTTTGAGACTAGCCTGTGCAACACAGTGAGACCCCATATCTACAAAAAATTAAAAGGTAGCTGGGCATGGCGATGCCCACCTGTGGTCTTAGCTACACAGGAGGCTGAGGTGTGAGGATTGCTTGGGCCCAGGATGTTGAGGCTATAGTGAGCCATGTTCACACCACCACACTCTAGTGTGGGTGACAGAGTGAAACATTGTCTCACAAACATACAAATAAACAAAAAATGTAACTAATCTAAGGAATATGTTGTCACACAAATTTTGATATGTCTTTATTCAGTATATGGAGACTTATTTTCTTCTTTAAATATTGCAGAGTGCTGAATGTGGAAAGTAAGTGAAATATGGCAAATATTCAACAGAATAAATCTTTCACTCTATTAAGATAGGTGAAAATACTGATTTCCATACTTTCTTTTGGTTGTACTTATAATTGTATAATTGACATAAGTTGTTTTGGCACCCTCCATTCATTTTCCTTTCTCCTGTTGAAAATATCCCAAATACCTCTGCCTCACTCTGAGTCATGTGGTTTTGAAGAGGCTTTGGAGAGTCATGTGACCTAAATTCTGCCTCAATTGGTAAATTCACGAACGTAGCATTGATGGTTTTTCAGGGATAAGTAAAAATTTAATTCTGGCCAGGAAAAGTCAGACTCAAGATTTTAGTTTGAAATTGTTGAAGAAAAAGAGATTCTCTTTTCCTTTTCACTTGAACTTACGAAGATGCTGAAGCTAGAGCTGCTAGAGTCATCTGCTACATTGGGAAACCTGAGAATAGTCAATAGAGAGAAAATACTGGTGAAAGATGAAGAGAAAATCTAGTCATTGTTGATATTGTGGTGGCTGTTTCAGTCACACAAACCAAAAATACTCCCCTTTAAACTCCAGCCCCTGAAGTTAGGAGATTTCATACTTAAAATGTAAAGACTACTTCTCAGCTGTTATTAGGAGTGGCTGAAATCACTGTTTGAGCCAGGAGATCTCAGTTCCCCTTAACTCTGCCTTTGATTATTTGCATGGATTTGGGTCAATCACTTTATTCTCCAGTCTTGGCTGCCAAATGTGGGAGTTAGGTGAGACATTCTCTCTGATACCTTCCAGTTCAATCATTCTGTAAAGCAGGTTAATGTGAGCATATGACTAAAAACACCATGACATGCCCTGATATTCTCCCAGACTAGAACACTTGAAGTCTGTCTTCTATCAGCTGTTCATGGAGGTAGAGCCAGAACTCATTTGCACAAGTGCCTGGCTTAACTCTGTTAAAGTGTTGGTAACTCCTGCTAAAACAATCATCAAGTGGCTCTGGGACATGTGCTAGAGCCTGCCCAGTCTCTGATGCACGGTCCAGCACTGAGCCAAAATATGTCGTTTCCAGGAGAAACATGGCCATATGGACTGCTTAATTTGTATTCCTTGAAAATGTCACAATTTTTTTCCTATGTTAGAAAATTGCTGTGGAATGACTTTTGAAAAATTCCCAATAATGAATTAAGTGAACCCTTTGAGAAATGTTGACTGTGGTTTTAAAAAATTAAGTTAAACAAGCCTAAGAGACACATATTCCAATGCATTTTGCCATGTTTAGAGGCCATTCGCTTCACTAGAAATGTGTGGGGTGCCTACTGTCTCCGTATATGGCCTCTAAAGTCAGGCTTACCATTTTTATCTTAGCTTTCTGGCTTGACCTCTTACCAGCTGGGTGAATTTGGTCAAGTCACTTAACCTTTCTAGGCTTCAGTGGTCTCTCCTATTAAATGAAGATAGTAATATTACATATCTCTTAGGATTCTTGAGGATAAAAATTCTTGAGGAAAAATAAAATACTATGTAGAGAGCCCAGCATTTAGGAAATATTCATTAGCACATTCAAGAAAGATACCTGGTTATAATATTATATATATATTTACATATGCATACACACATATATCACATGTGTCATGTACATATACACATATATGTATTTTACATGTATTATATGCTATCTTTATTGAATAGTTAATGTGTTACCACTGTATTTTTTCCTTGTTATTTCACATATGTATCTCTAATAAAAGTAAAAATTCAGAAATGTCCTGTTTTGTGGCTTGCAATATAAATTATCTGATTGTCCATCTAAATGGATTATAACAACTGAATAACTTCCAATTTAAACACCTCATTGTCTACCATGAGGAAAAATCATATAAATTTAGCTCTAAACATTGGCTTGCCTATATAACACCTGACTTGAAATTTCAAGGATCATGGCAAATATAACAGCAAATGATGTGTTATAGGATGCACAACTCTGCCAACACCAATTGCATATATTTTTCCATTGTGTCTTTAAATGCCAATAAGAGCTTTTGTTTGCTAAAATATTCTGTTATTGTGAGAAGTGAAAACAAAATACTGTCTTCTGAGGCATCATTATTTATTGAGAAATGAGAATTTTATATAACCATTTAACTCATCTATCCTGTGGAGATCTAAAGATCACATTTAACTAGTTTTCCACTTCTAACTTTCTGCCTCAATTTTAATAAACTATTGAGCATGGGCTAGACTCCAAGTCTTAAATTCACACATAGTAGTGAGCAGTTATATAATTGCCATTTTAATAACAACTCAATAACAAGAACTTTTATATGTTCCATAGATATTGCCTAAAGAATTTGAGATCTATTTTTGTATCTTCTGTTGATTACAGTTTCAAATAGGCTGATCAAAATCTTTGTTCGGTTCTATTTTACAATGGTTAACATTTTTAGAAACAAACACAAAAAGTAATACAAAACTTTAGAACTTACAAATTCCAATAATTTACTAAAATTATTCATTAAGCTCTGTTTAAAAAATTGAAAGAACAAAAGCCCTGAAAATTTGTTTTATTTTTAAAAATTCTATTGTTCAGTTTGTCTCTAGTTAGACACACATACAAGAGAAGTAAATTTTGCCACCCCTGGTAAAACACTACTCAGGGGAAAAAATAGGAATTTATTCTTTTGCCTACCTTTCATGATTAGAATTCATCTCCCTTCCTTCCATACAGTCCTAACTTCCCAGGGTTTCACATATTTATGGAGTGCCTCTTCAATAATAGCCATCAGTTTTAGGTGCTACATTTACAAAGAGAAATTATATATGAGCTCTTTGCCCTGTTTTTCATCCTTTTGTATCTGAAGAACTATTCATCCTTCAACTCTCAGATGGAAGATTCTCTCCTTCAAGAAGCATTCTCTCTTTGGGCAGCCTTGATAGTGCAACATCTGCCTTGAACTCTCAATATATTCTGTACAAAGAGCTACATGATCTATAGGACTTTAGAGCCTTGATTTGGTTACATGCCTGTATTCCTCTGATAAGCTTTAGGTCTCTAGGCAGTGAGGACTTTGTTTTACTTGACTTTGACTTTCCCACCTAGCATTATGTTTTTCAAAAAGCAGTTACATTATTTCTTTGAATGCATGATAGAATAACTGAGCTCACAGCCTAATCTAGTTCTACACAGTGATACTGTCTCCTGGAATGACTCCATCTTTCCAAAATGTAAGACCTCCTAAATCCCAGAAAAAGGAAAAAAATGTATTAAATCTCTCCACTCTGAGTCTATTTTCAAAAGTTAGTTAATTTATTACTATGTTGACAGATGATGCAGATTTTGCTTAAATTTTGTTATATGAAATTGATTGTAAATTCACAGAGGGTTGTAAAGATAGTATAGAGAGTTTCTGTGTTTCAGTTACATCTAACACAGCAATAATGAAGTATAAAAACCAAGAAACTAGCATTGGTACAATATATGTATATAGTTCTATGCCATTTTATTGCTTGCAGGTTTGTGTAAACACTATCACTATTAAGGTACAAAATTATTATAACAGTGACATCCCTCTCTATACTCCTATATAGTCACACCCATCCTTTCCTCCAACTATCCCTAACAATTGGTAAACAACATTTTGCTCTCTGTCTCCATAATTTTGTAATTTCAAGATTATAATCTAAATGGAATCATATGTGTCATACTATCATCACATTGTTCATATGTAATTTATCACAGTCAGTTGTTGCAACACTTTTTAAGTTGAAGTGTGGCAACCTTACCTACCTTTATACTCTTTTAACATCTCTTATTTATAATATAAATGTTTTGAATATGTTCCCTACATACATTTAGAAGATCAGATGGTGATAAAATTATTGTTTCAACTGTCAAATATAATTTAGAAAACTCAAGAATAAAAGAAATGTCTATTATATTTACCTATAGTTTTACTTTTCCTATTTTTCTTTCTTGCTTGCTGATGTTCTAAGATTCTTTCTTTTATAATTTGTTTTTTGTTTAGCAAATTTTCTTTAGCTTTTCATTACAGTAGATCTGCTGGTGAAAAACTACAGTCGTCTTTCTTCATCTGAGAATGTCTTGCTTTCCTCTTCATTAATGAAGAATATTTCAGTGGATATAGGATCCTAAGTTGACAGTTCTTTTCTTCCAGTACTTGAAAAGTATTGTATCACTTCCTCTTCACCTCCACAATTTTGGATGAGAAATCTGCTGTCATTCAAATTGTTTTCCCCCCATAGGTAAGATTTTTTTTCCTACTGCCTTCAAGATTTATATTTGTTTTTAGTTTTTAGAAATTTCATTATGATGTGTTTTGGCATGGATTTCTGGGATGTATCCTGTTTGGGGTTTACTCAACTTCTTGAATCAGGTAGATTTACATATTTTCTACCATTTCACCCATTATTTTTAAAACTACTTTTTCAGCTCCTCTGTGTTTCTCCTGTTCCTCCAGAATTCTGTTAACATGAATTTAGAGCTATTATTATAGCCTTACAGGTCCCTAAGGCTTTGTTTATTTTTTAACAGTCCACTTTCTTCTGCTGTTCAGGTTGAGTAATTTCTATTATTTTATCCTCAAATTCACCAATCCTTTCCTCCGTCTCCGCCACTCTGCAGTTAGGTTCATCTATTGAGATTTTATTTTGGTTATTATATTTTTTTATTTCTATTTAGTTATGATGATTAGTAATGTTGAACTTTTTTTCAAATGTTTGTTGACTGTATATCTTCTTTTGAGAAATGTCTGTCTTTTGCTCACTTTTTAATGAGGTTATTTTTCTTGTTGATTTGTTTGAATTGTTTATAAAATCTAAATATTAGAATCTTTATAAAATCTAAATATTAATGCTTTGTCAGAGGCATAATTTGCAAGTATTTTCTCCCATTCTGTAGGCTGGTGGTTTACTCTGTTGATAGTTTATTTTGCTGTGTAGAAGCTCTTTAGTTCAAGTTCCATTTGTCTATTTTTTATTTTGGTGCATTGGCTTTTGGGGTCTTCATCATAAATTCTTTGCCAAGGCCAATGACTAGAAGAGTATTTCCTAGGTTTTCTTCTAGAACTTTTATAGTTTGAGGTCTTACATTTAAGTCTTTAATCCATTTTGAGTTATTTTTTCTATATGGTGAAATGTAGGGGTCCAGTTTAATTCTTCTGCATACAATTTTTCCAACACCATGATGGTTAATTTTATGTACTAACTTGTCTAGGCTATGATGCCCAGTTGTTTGATAAAACACAAGTCTAGGCTGGGTGTGGTGGCTCATGCCTGTAATCTCAGCACTTTGGGAGACTGAGGTGGGTGGATCATGAGGTCAGGAGATTGAGACCATCCTGGCTAACATGGTGAAACCCTGTTTCTACTAACAACACACACAAAAATTAGCTGGTGTGGTGGGTGCCTGTAGTCCCAGCTACTTGGGAGGCTGAGGCAGGAGA